CAGATTTTCATGAAGTTTTTTTTTGTTCCTTTGTTGTTTAATATAGCATATTGTTAGCATACTGTCAAATACATACAAAAAATTGGAAACATTAAATTTATTAAAACTCGGTTTTGCTTTCGCTACTTTTACTTACAGTTGCCATCACTGCCCCCGTCCACATTGGTTGCCATGACACTCGCAAGCACCTCACCTTCATCGATGCTATTCATTAACGATAATTGCTTTCATTTTCTGCACATTTTGTTGTGAGAGTAGCGTTTGTGTTGTTGGAATGGCAAATGATATCGTAAATTAATACACTTTCTTTGTTATGAATTGCGTGCGCGCACCCTCCTCTATAATTAAAATTGATCACAAATTTTAATTTTGATTTTGTTCTTCAGACGCACAGTGTGGCCGAATCCCAAAAGTGCGGCCGTAATTCGAGAAAATAAATGTTCTAGATAGGCCTTTTTTGACATTGAGTTGGCTTAAGGGATCACCTAGGAAGCGAAAACTGTTCACTGTAACGACCCGTACCCTAAGTCCTCTCTTTATATTTATTTGTAGTGTGACCGAAAAGTTATTAACGTATGAAAGTAGTTAGATAATAGAAAATCTAACAAAACCAAATGGTTTAGTAAAATACGTAAAAAAATATTTAAGAAATAAAAATTTAAAGGTATTTTTTTCGTTTAATTTTAAACAAAATTTGAGTTAAGAGCACGCTGTCGGATGCTGCCTATAAACCTATTGGATTTTACGTAGAAAAGTATGAGCTACAGAATAAAAGAAAACTCAGGTGCTCATTTCTGCTCCTTATATTTTTTGTTTATGTTTTTAACACGCTTATACAAATAAGTTTCACCTGTATGTAAAAATGTCCAGCTTTTTAATTAGATTTCACAGAAAGATTTTGAGTATGCAGTTTCGTGGCACATTTAATTTAAGTGCAAAAAGTGTAAGTTTGAAGAAGGTGGGACTTATGTTTGGTTTTTGGCAATTTTTTTTTGTTGAAGATGTTGCTCATTTTCTTCATATCATCGAATATACTACATATGGAGAAAATGACTAGCACCGTCAACAAAAAAAATTTTCAAAAATCAACGGTAAGTCCCACCTGCTTCAAACTTGGACTTTGTTAAACTAAAATTGAATGGGATATAAAACTGCATACTCAAAATCTTCTGAAGAAATCGAATTAAAAAGCTCCAAATTTACTAGACGCCATACTGATCCGCCTTTTTGAATTTTGCAATTCTGACAGCGGATTATTAATTAGTGACCCCGAAAACCCTCTAGTGCGAAATTTCGATTCATTATATCAAAGCTTTGAATTTTGGCCACACTTTTGGATTTTGGCCGCTCTGTGAGACGCCACGACCCAGTTAGTATGTGGAATCGCTCGCTGATTCCGATGGATACGTTTTCAGTTATTTGCAATTCACCGTTATTCAGCTTAAAAAAGAAGTGGTTCCACTTAATCGGGTATACATATATGCCACATACACCTGAGTAGATAGAGTGTTTACATCCAAAACAAGAGGTGTCAGAAATGATTAACTAATTTCTCAGAAAATATCAGGGCTATCAAAAAGTGATGTATATACGGTTTATGAAGAATTTAATTTGCTTTAATTTTCCGTATCTCGTATTACGATTATTCAATTGGTTAATAAAATATACGTGATTTAGTGAAACCACTATTAAAGCTGAATAACGGTATATCTCGAAAAACTATCCACAGAAAAAAAATTATCTCGATTTTCGGAATTACCCAGAAATTCTACATAGGAATTGGCTAGTAGCATCCATTGAACATTTTTTCTGTAAAGCAGTGTTGTTACCATAATGATTATGCGTCTTTGCCAATGGCAGTGAAATTTAATAACAAACTGCTCTTCTGTTTTTGTAATTTTTCCGGTTTAATGGAGTGAAAACTTTTGCCATCCTATTGAAATGGTAAATAATGCAAAATATGGCGTTTTGCTGAACACGCCATTATTCAGCCAACCGATTGCCATTTTAATCACTTTACTCCATCAGCTTTTGTTGCTATTGACAACACATTGAATGTAGAGTGTGGGGGCAACGCTTCATTTCCTGAAATTCGTTATTATCTACAGTCATCGTTGAGCCATATTGCTGTCATCATTTTACAAAGTTGGTGTAGGCTAGAAAGCTTTGCGCTTTGTAGCTACAACTTTTCGTTTGCAGTTTGTGTGTGCGATTTCGAGAACACATGTAGATGAAAATTAAAAAATTAACAAAAAATTATTCTTACACATAGTAGCAGGGAGATGGCCACTTATGGAGATGTTTTGTTGCTAAAAACTTTCAATCAGTTGGTATTCTATATCAAAGAAAGGCAACTAAAGTTGCTGCAAACTTTGGCCATTGCTTTGAAAGTGGAATTCTCACAGCACCCACAGGAGCTTTTAGATTTATTTACTTTATCAGTTATCTAAGCTGATGTTTTTGCAAAAAAGTTAACGCGCATTTGACCGGAAGTTAATGAAGAACAAAAAAATTTTACAAGAATACAAATAATATAAGGGATGTTTGAATTGAAACCTACGTTATAGCTTTAACTTATGTACTTATACAGACACGCTAAGTATAGTAGATAAAACAAAGTTTTCTTCTTATAACGAAATTAAAATTCGAATTTCATTTAAGGAAGTGAGCTAATGAGAAGTGCATTTGAATATTTATGAATTTACGATAGGTAGAAAAACAAAGTTATCAAAGTATCGATAGAAAAAGAAATCGCCAAACTTTTTGAATGCATAACTGTATCTTCTATTTGTGTACATATGTATTTGAATCAATAAATATTGACGATGATGTGGCCAAAATGTTGCGCATTAAATTTACGGCAACCGCCACACCGTGCCGCATAATCGAAATAAGAGCTAGTTAAAACAATTATGGAGTTCCCCTAAAAAGAAAAAAATTGCAGATGAAATTTTTGAATTTTTCACTATTTTTACATTTTATTTCTAGAATTGTTTAAGGTATGCAGTTTATAGCATATCAATTTCTAGTATAATAATATGCAAGTTTCAAGTGAAAAAAATTTTTTTTTTGCTGATATATCGAGCACATTTCTGCCTTTGATAATTTGAATAAAAAAAATCCTTAAATTTTTACATTTATGTANAATTTCTAGTATAATAATATGCAAGTTTCAAGTGAAAAAAATTTTTTTTTGCTGATATATCGAGCACATTTCTGTCTTTGATAATTTGAATAAAAAAAATTCTTAAATTTTTACATTTATGTGCATATAAATTTGAACGATTTGCTAACTAATAAGTTAATATTTGTTCACTAATTAATTTAGTTATTCCTAATCCTATGTAGGGTAGCCAGCTGAAAAGGCTGTATTCGTAATCGAAGTGCAGTTGCAAAAATAGTCGATTCCAGTCGCGTCCCTTCCAGTAAGAACAAAAATGTTTCAAACAATCTGGCGACTAGTGGTATCAGGGCAGTAAATTTGAAGGAAACACTGCAATGGTTGCCGCCTTAAAAACTAATCAACAATTTGGGTAGGAACTAGGCACTAATCTACGAAAAAAATAAAAACTTAAAAACAATCCATCATACAAAGTTTGCGTAAAAATTCCTTTTTTTATTTTTCTCTGTGTTATCGCCTCATTCTCTTTGGGGTAATTTTTTTAACTATTGTTGCTAATTTTTTAAGTGCCAATTTAATTTTAAATCAATTAATATTTTTTTTTTCAATTATTCAAAATTATTTAAAATTTAAAAGTATTCGTGCCATATTTACGGTAGTGTAAGATAAATTTTAATTTATTCGTCAATGGTGGAAATCTCGAAAAAAACTTTAGTTTATACATACTAGGAAGTAATTCAAGCAACAGAAAGCTTGTCTAAAAAGCTGTAATTTACAGTTAAAGCTGTGAATCTGGAAACATTGGTCCTGCAAGAGATCCATTGAATGCAGGAATATTTTGGGATAATGAGTACATTCACACAAAATTAGATCTTTGTGGCCATACCCAGGCGAATGCTTACTTATTGCAGTAACGTCGCACACACATACATACAGACATACACCCAAGCATAGCATATATCAGCTATTTTTAATTGCGGCTAAAAACTTTAGCCATTAAAATCTGCAACCGAGACTCGCTTGTGTGGCAGATATTGAAAAGTTTGCGCCTTGAAGGCAATTATAAACAGGAAGTTGAACAAATTTACTGACATGGCAACACATGAGAGGCTGTTTATGGAGTGCGATAAACATATGTATGTATATAATACACTTGTATGTACACGAGTAAAATCAAATACACATAAAAATACTATGTAAAATGCTAATTTTTGTGCAGATACTCGTATTCATAAGGTTTCAAATGTTGGTTAGAAAGTTACTATGGGCAACTAGAAATATCAAATAAATTTAATTGAAAAGTTTTCATAATGATAATTGAGATAAATTTAGCTTGATTACAAAATAGAAAAGTGCGAGTGATAATTATAAACTTTTATTCGTGTACGCCCATTTGTTTTTACGGCTATTCCAAATAAAACGTAATTAGTTTTTTCCGGGATAGCCTTCGATTTGGTTAAAATTTTGCGCACAGCCTAATTTCATACTAGCACAGAAATGGGCAAATTTTTAAAATTATTATTTTTTTAATTATTAAGGTTTTAAGTAAGATCGAAGTTTGATTTATTACCTTTCCAAAGTCACCTGAATTTATTGGAGTTAGAGCAAAAAATAGTGAATTTATAAAAAATTTTGTTCATCCAACATTACAGTTTTATTGATATTTACCACGCCCATAATTTGTAAGAATTTTTTTTAGTCTATTTCTGACAGTTTTAGTATGAAATTAGGCTGTGCGCAAAATTTAAGCCAAATCGAAGGCTATCATCCAGAAAATCGCTACCTTTTCTTACATTTAATATGGAATTGCCGTAAACATAAATAAATCGTTTTTATTTAATACAAAATTTACATTTTCTTTTTCTCTCTCCTTCCATAGGATATACCGCTGCATGTGGCCATGATATCGCACATTCTCATCGCTTGGGACCGCATGCGTTGGCTGAGTGATCCATTACAGGGCCGGCTGCCTGCATTTGTTTGTTGCTGTGCAACTTGGCTGACTGGCATGGTGATTGCGTTGCCTTATCCCATCTATACAATCTATGTGGAATTGGGGGTAGGTATACAAGATGACTCTTGTTTCCACTTATTAACTTGTTTTGCTATTTATATGTATTCAATTGGAAATATTTGGTGACTTGTGTTATGAAAAGAAATGGAAAGTGGGAGGTGAGGAAAATAAAGACTTAGTAAAAGTTGTAATGTGATAACCAAAATAATAGTTGAAAAGTTTTGCACTTTTTTTTTGTGTGCGCGCAGTTAAGCAATAAATGCGTAGGTATATAGTCTGCTTATTGGAACAAGTGCTGAAAATATTGCGGTTACAAAGCGCCAGAGTATCGATGATGGCGTGATTTTCGATGTAATTTTTTGATATATGTATGTACATACATACATATCTATACAGTATTGTGTCTTATGGAAAAACCACAGAGGTTCTAAACCATTGGAAATGTGAAGCTTTTTAATTTATTTAAATTATTAAAAATTATTAAAAGATTTGGAAAATAGCGATGAAAGCGTATTCAAAAGTAAACAAAGTCTGCTACCTACATTTCAGTTTCAATGTTGCGTATACGCCATGCCGATACCAGATTATTTCATAGTAAAATTAAAATGATTTTTTTTCTTTTTTTGTTAAAAATATTTACGATATGATCATTAGAGAGCTGAAGTTTTAATGGAAAAAGGTTTGCTTTTCCTTTTCAAAGACTCTTGTTGCTTAATTAAATAATTCAATAATTTCCTATTAAAAGATTATATTTTTATAGGCGGACAAAAGCATTAAGTGCTGAAATGGCTGTAAGAAATATAGCGAGATGTATTATTTTTATTACTATAATATTATTAATTTTACTCAGCAGTTTCTGAATTTAAGTATTTATTGTTTTTCAATGTTTGTCAAGTTTTTTCAGTCTTTAGATTCATTTTATAATAAAAAGATCCCAAACTGTTAAGCTACGATTTTATTATTTAACTGGCGCAGTCAAAGAAAGGAAACCCGAACAGAGGAATACGTTTAAAGGACAATTAAAAAAAAGAGAATATTTTAGATACAAATTTTTGCAAAAAAAATATATATATAACAAAGAAAAATAAAGATCCGTGTAATTTATGGATATATATACATAATATGTATAAAGGCTATGTAATTAAATATTTCAATATGGTCACAAAAAGTTAACTCCAATACATAAAAGCAATAAAATAGAGGATAACATATTAGAAAGTGGGGTATTCAATTCATCGATAATGGCACAATCAGGAACTTCTAATGAGAATACAATGCCGACATTCCAGCTTTCAATGAATGATCTTATGAAGGATGCACACAGAGTTCATGAGTTCAAAGGTGATGGTACATATGCTCTCTCTGCATTTTTAAGAGAAGTAGATGTTATATTGTCGATGCTGCATATAAATCCGACTGCATGTGAATACATTTTCCGAAGAGTCATTCTTAATAAAATACAAGGTAAAGCGTTACATACTATTAGAACATTACCAGCAGATGCCAATTGGACTACAATTAAGGCAATCCTTATTCAAAATTTTGGCAGAAAGGAGTCATATCACCAACTTTATCAAGAGGCATTTGCAGCTCGTAATATTAATATAAAAAATTATTATACATTTTTATTAGACACCTTATCAAAACTAAATGAAAAATTTGAATATGATAGTAGCGAACCATTAGAATTTAGCCCTATATATACTGAAAAAACTATTTTACGAACATTTTTAAATAATATTGATGCCAATTTAGCTTCTGTTGTAATTAACAGAAATGTGACTACATTGAGAGAAGCTTTTAGTTTATTACAAGGTGAAGGCCTGATTCGTAATAATGGTAAAATTGGTAATGGAATGAATAAAGAAGATAACTATAACTATATAAAACATAATAAATATTCGCATGTAAATTGTAATAACAAATATAATTCTAATGAACCAGTTTTTCAAAATAACAAATACCAACAAAATTTTAACAGGCAGCAACCAAATTTAAACTTAAATAATCAAAATTTCCAAAAATATTATAATTCTAATCAAAATAGTAATTACTGGCCAAGACAGAATATTAATAATTCACGTCAATTTACGTCTCAAAATTTTAATCAATATCAACATAACAATAGTACGAACTTCAGAAGAAGTGTAGTGGAGCCAATGGATACAGATTATGTGCAAGTGGACGAAGTAAACAGAAATGAGGTATCAAATTTTCATGCAATGGCCTCAAGGGAACATTACCAATAATAGAATTAACTCTAGGAGATGACAAAATTTTATGTTTGATTGATACTGGCTCATCCACTCCACTTTTAAATAAAAATTTGTTACCGTTTTATAAAAGAAAAACCAATTAGCGTAGAATCGGGAAATTGTAATAAGAACAATGTACATATAAATATCATCAATGAAAAAAGAAGATATTTAAACAAAAGAAATTTGAATTGAGAAAATTATACAGAATATAGAAAAGAAGGCTATATCAAAAATTATAAAAATGTTCGACATAAAGAGCAATCAAAATGTATAAAAGGTGATTTGCAAGATGTACATATTAAAAATATTAAAAGGAAAAATAAGTATGCTGATAAATTTAATATCCAAGACATTAATTTAGCATAAACATTATATACATTATCATTGGTTAAAATATTTAATTGCTGTTAAAATACACAATTTATTATGGATTTAATCGTATCACTAAATTTTGTTTTTGGTTTAACTTGGCATATCATCAATTTTAACGAGGGGGAAGTTATGTTACTGTTTATTTTTATTACTATAATATTATTAATTTTACTCAGCAGTTTCTGAATTTAAGTATTTATTGTTTTTCAATGTTTGTCAAGTTTTTTCAGTCTTTAGATTCATTTTATAATAAAAAGATCCCAAACTGTTAAGCTACGATTTTATTATTTAACTCGCGCGCCATGTAAATAAACCTATACACCTAAATTTTTATATTCACTTTCCAAACACAAAGCCGAAGGGTTTTTCATTTAAAGATCGATGTCCTGCTTATAAATTACCAAAAATTATCAAAATTTAATTTAATAAAATATTTAGTTCTATTTCTTATATAACCACAAATGTATGCTGAGTTTTTGTGGACCAAAAATGTATGTCAAGTCCTTAGTTTACTCAAATTTCTTTTCCAGTTTTTAGTTTTACCAAAAATTTGTATGCAGCTTATAAAAATTAAAAACTATGCTCAGTTTTCAAAATATAAAACAAGTTAAAGAATTTTTAATTAATCAAAATTTATGTTAAGTTTTCCAATTCCCAAAAATTGATGTCCGGTTTTTAATATAATAACTTTTTTTTTACTTTCGAGCATTTAATTACATTCACTAAAAGAAAATGTAGTAGTCAGAAAATGTTTGAGTTTATCTAAAATGTTAAAGCGCACTGTGGCCTTCTACTTTTCCACCTAAGATCCTTAATGACTAATGCGATTCTTGAACGGAGAATTTTTGAAATTCCAATCGTCAATAAAAAATACAGTTTGCATGTTTGTGTAATTAAATAGTGGTTTGATAATAATAAAATGGAGAAAATTACATACATACATATGTACATATATATGCGCCGGATACTTTCTAAAGATGGCAAAGTGTTCATAAGAAATATGAATTCCTTACCAATTCGCATCGAAAAGTATGCTTCAGTAAATCACAATTACTTTTACCTTTCTCACTTTGCCTCCCTGCCTCCGCTTTTATAATTATATCCGGCCATTTCAAACGCAAAATAAAAGCTGCATCCATTGAATCTTATTGCAAAAAAAAAATGTTCAAAATTTCATTGTTATTCGTTTGTTGTTTAAAATAACAAGGGATTTGATTGAACATCCCACCTGTCGGGTTAGGTGTGTTTCTATTTTTTTCATTGCTTTATCTAGTTAATCCAATTTTCTCCATCCATGTCTAAAATTTGACATTTATTGCTGTCAATGCTTGGCATTATTCGTTACTTGGAGTAAATAAGATAAATCCAAAAATAAATAAACTACATTACGTGGACGAGTGTTGAAATATATACATAACTACATACCACATTCCTCTTTTGTATTTGCTTTCTTACACAGTGAATCGAGCTGACAAACGAAAAAAAATATATATCACAATATATATGCAAGTGCTGATAGAACAAATACACTCATTTGTATGTAGCACCACTATTTGTAACAACTCAAAAAGCATCCATAGCTTTATCTCTGAATTTATGGCAACGTTTTTGACATCGTAAAAATATGCATCAAGTGCTTGATGGAATTATGTATTTGCGCATGCAAGCTGCCCGCATATTCGTACTGCATCAAATGAACGGAAGTGTGTGAATTTATGCGATTGGGCTATGTTACCAAAAAATATACATTAGAACATTTTAGGAATATTTAGGGATCAAAAAGTGTGACATTTACCAGCGACGAGATTTTCTTCTATCTGCATTCTGATATGACTGGGTACTAGCTTTTGCCCACAGATAAGCGTAACGATTCTTTTTCGCATCTAAAATTTATTGAGCTATAAAACTGCATAACTAAAATTTTTCTAAAATTCTGAACAAAAAGTTTAAAATTTTTGTTTGTAATTGTTAAAATTGGTTGAATTTTTTAAATTTTTGTGCGCAGTTTGAAATGTGGATTTATATGGTGCTGGTTATGTAATGTGCAAGACCTTTATAAAAATATATAAACCTTAAAAAAAACAAATGAAAAAAAATTGGGCAAAATGTCACTTAACTTAATCAGCTGACCAGAAATGTATGTACATGTATATACATTTTTAAATTAATTTTTATCGGAGGATTTTTTTTGTTACATGTGGCTAAGTAGCAACACTTTTTATTGCATATTAATACCTCATAGTTATATTTCATTTGGCTTAAGCTGAATAAATTTAAATTTAAGATAATTCTTTTGCAGTAACTAAAAAAATATTCACTTAAATTGCATTTGATTTTTCCAACATGATGGAGTTTTCTCCAATCGCATTCCATCAAAAGTAACTGATTAAATTTAATTTGACTTTTAAACAGGCG